ACTAACTGGTACGAATGACTTACTAACTGTTGCGCATGACTTACTAACTTTTGGGCACGAGATACTAACCGGTGCGCACGACTTACTTACTGGTACGAATGACTTACTAACTGCTTTGCATGACTTACTAACTTTTGGGCATGAGATACTAACCGGTGCGCACGACTTACTTACTGGTACGAATGACTTACTAACTGCTTTGCATGACTTACTAACTTTTGGGCATGAGATACTAACCGGTGCGCACGACTTACTAACTGCTGCACTCGACTTTCTAACTGCTGCGCACAACTTACTAACTTTTGGGCACGAGATACTAACTGGTGCACACAAGATATTAACTGGTGCACTTGAGATACTAACTGGTGAGCACAACTTTCTAACTGGTGCGCACGAGATACTAACTGGTGCACACGAGATACTAACTGGTGCACACGACTTACTAACTGCTGTGCATGACTTACTAACTGTTGTGCACGAGATACTAAGTGGTGCACACGAGATACTAATTGATGAGCACGACTTCCTAACTGTTGCGCACAAGATACTAACTGGTGCACATGAGATATTAACTGGTGCACACGAGATACTAACTGGTGCACACGAGATACTAACTGGTGCACACGAGATACTAACTGGTGCACACGACTTACTAACTGGTGCACACGACTTACTAACTGCTGTGCACGACTTACTAACTGCTGTGCACGACTTACTAACTGCTGTGCACGACTTACTAACTGTTGTGCACGAGATACTAAGTGGTGCACACGAGATACTAAGTGGTGCACACGAGATACTAATTGGTGAGCACGACTTCCTAACTGGTGCGCACGAGATACTAACTGGTGCACACGAGATAATAACTGGTGCGCATGACTTACTAACTGGTGCGCACGACTTGCTAACTGGTGGGAACAACTTACTAACTGGTGGGGACGAGATACTAACTGGTGAGCACAACTTACTAACTGGTGTGCACAACTTACTAAACTGCTGCGCACGACTTACTAACTTTTGGGCACGAGCTACTAACTGGTGAGCACGACTTCCTAACTGGTGCGCACGAGATACTAACTGGTGCACACGAGATACTAATTGGTGAGCACGACTTCCTAACTGGTGCGCACGACTTGCTAACTGGTGGGAACGACTTACTAACTGGTGGGAACGAGATACTAACTGGTGCACATGAGATATGAACTGGTGCACACGAGATACTAACTGGTGAGCACGACTTCCTAACTGGTGCGCACGAGATACTAACTGGTGCAGACGAGATAATAACTGGTGCGCATGACTTACTAACTGGTGCGCACGACTTGCTAACTGGTGGGAAGGACTTACAAACTGGTGCAGATGAGATACTAACTGGTGCGCACGAGATCGTATTATTTTTCCATTCCATGTCCCTTTAGGGTCTCAGTAGCCTGCTAACATATAAGAAAGCCCTTCAGAAAGCTAGAAATGCATATTATTCAGCTTTAATAGAAAAGTATAAAAACGCGGTTTCTGTTCAGTAGACATAAAAAGACCCATCTCTGTTGAGCCATGTATCCCTATAACTCTAAGTACACCTTGCTAGTTCTGGGTTGGACCCTCTTTTGCCTTCAGAAATGCCTTAATCCTTCGTAGCATGGATTCAAAAATGGTACTGGAACCATTCCTCAGAGTCTGGTCCATATTGACATGATGGCATCACACAGTTGCAGCAGATTTGTCGGCTGCACATCCATGATGCG